ATTTTGTCGAGCATGTGATAGGATTGATGCAATGACATTGAAAGTATAGCAATTATGCCTGTAGCCATGTTGTTTCGAAGCCCAAATGAAGAACATATGAGCAACCTTCCAATTCCTCAGGCCATTCAATACATTTTCAACAATCTGGGTGTTGAGCCTTGGAGCTAAGATTTTCAGCTCGGGATCATCAGGGGAAATTTTTCGTTGGCTAAAGAGGGAAATGAAGTTATTACTGATATGAGATTCGTCATGAGAAGGAATAACATTGATCGCGTCTGAACAAATTGGTCTGTAAGATTGAGAAACAACAACAGGAGAGAGACTTTCACTGAAAACCGAAATAAAAGCAACAGAATTAGTGAAATTGACCGATTTCCAGAGGCTTTGATTGGCAAACGTGATTCTGGAAAGCGCCATAGGAACGGAAATTAGATATTCAAATTTCCGTTTACACGAAGCTGAAGCCTGGATTCCAGAAATGTTTTGCGTTGTTCCATGTGTGCTCTTTCATTCTGAGACGGATTCGCAGTAAAATCTGCGAAATTTGCGATGAAGTAACTCAGATGATGATGCAGGTTATGAACTGAAACGATCTTCTAGCGACGCACAGATTGTTGTAACGACCTGGAATTCACACTCCTGCGATATTCTTATTCTTCTTCCTCTCGGAGGTTTTTGGGCGCGATGGGCGTCCAGATTATCGATGGGATTATATTATAGGTCCAAAAATTAAAATTTAGAAAATTAAAAATGTTAAATTATAAAAAAATACTCTACTTTTATTTAATTTTTGCCTCATTTATTTTCAATTTTAGTTTTATTTTTCTTAGATACTTATACATGCGCGGATGACCCCTCTATGACTGCACAGCTCTCGAACACTCTCTGCCTCAACCGGAAGGGGTAAGGGGTGAGTATATATGTGATGTCCCACATTAGTTGGGGAGGAGAACAAACCCCCATTTATAAGGGTGTGGAAATTGGGGGCAGTCCCACATCGATTAGAGGGAGGAAAGAGTGTCAACGAGTACGTTGGGCCCTGAGGGGGTGAATTGTGATGTCCCACATTGGTTGGGAGGAGAACAAACCACCATTTATAGGGATGGTTTACCATCCCCTAGCAGACGCGTTTTAAAGCCTTGAGGGGAAGCCCGAAAGGGAAAGCACAAGAAAGACAATATTTGCTAGCGGTGGGCCTGAGTCGTTACAATATAGATATACCTAGTAAGCAACCTAATTATAGGATTTCTTCCCCATCCTTAACCTAATAAGTTACCATGAGCTTTTATTAGGTCCCCAAGAAGTTTGGGCCTAGTTCAGGATTCTCGTAACTATAACCACATAAGATGATGATGACCCATTTCCTAATATCATCTACTTATGTAGTCCCTCATCCCCTCTCAAAGCGGGTTTATTCTATATATACTAGTGGTTCTTCTTGTTTTCTACTTATGTAGTCCCTTGATCCCTCTCAATGCGTATTTATATTTATATACAGTAGTAGTTCCTTGTGTCCTCTACTCATGTAGTCCCCGGGCCATTCCAAGGTGGGTTTATGGACTTTGATTCATTTCTACATACAATAGCAGTTCATCATGTAACCCACTCATATAGTCTCTCGTCCCCTCTTAAGCTGGGCTTACCGGCCTTGGCTAGTTTCTACACAGAGTGGACATCTTGATTACTACTTGCGTTGTCTCTTGTCTCTCTCTCATACTGGTTTACGAAGGTGTCAGCCTTGACTCATTTCAACACTCAATAGTAACTCAAGTGGTTTCAAAATTATGTTAAGCTTGCATAATCGTATTTAGATGTAGTAGAGGTTTACTAGGTTCTTAGGGACATCTAAGTGGTTTAAATCTCATTTCTCGTTTCTAGAACATTCAAGGTTAGCTCCTTAGGCTAGACCAATCTCTGGGTGCACACAGGTCGAAACCTCTAATTGCTCACGATCCTAGGGTGTAAGTGATGGTGTTAATATAACACATGCGGAAGCAATTTGGATCTTAGGCACTCTTAGAACATCAATTATAGTAAATAACTAGCATGTTCATAAGCATTAAAACTCAGGGTGTTTGAGTACTAATCTTTTATAGTTAAAATTTCTTTTTCCTCACGAACCGATTTTGAACCACCACTAGTGTCTTCTCCACTATTCTTCGGTCTTAGAACGGGATTGTGGAATCCGGTGAGTGACTAAACTTGGGAGGGATTTAGTATATATGAAGAGAGAGTTTGTGAGAGTTTTTCTCAAGATTTTTACAAGGGAGAAGTTCAATGTACCTTGATCACTCTATTTACAGAGTTATGTTTGCATGTTCATGCAAATTTGGTGCCATAGATTTTTCCATGAAGTGAAGTCAAGTTCATTTTAATTCAACAATTAATTTAAATAATTAATTTTAAATTAAAGTAATATTAAATGATTAATTAAATTATTTAATTAATATTTAATATTAATTCAAATGTCAATCACAATTAATTCCAGACACATTTGAATAAAATATTTAAATTTTATTAAAATATCTCAAATTCTCTCTTTTTATTTAATTTATAAATAAAACAAAAATGCAGTTAAATATATCGTATATATGTAGCACATATTCCCTAATTTGAATTTGAACACTTCGAACTCACTTGTCACACTGTTCTATGGTTTAGTTCGATATGAGCTAGTAGAGGGATCTAATGGACCTATAGATCATGGGCTCCAACGATCCAAGATTAACCGGTTAAACTCATTAACCTTGTTAACCAACACTCGTTAACTATTAGGACATTCCACTATAGCCTAGTAGTTGCACTCCCCTCACTATAAATATATTTTTGTCCATTTGATATAACCATGATTAGTAAGTCGATCCTTCACAGGTTGTTCGTAACTAGAGTTGGGTCAATTAACCGTTTTACCCCTGAAGTTACTTCTTGTTCCTTATGTCCCACTGACCCTCTAATGAACAATTAGTTTGTGGTCCAACCAGTAAACCGAATCTCTCTCAGGCCAATGAGAGAGTGAAACCCCTTATTCAAGACCTGGAGTCAGTATTAAGGGAACTACCTCTCTTCTATCCCTAAAAGTGGGTAGGAGCGAGTTCCATCTTGCACCCCACGTTCCAGCCATTCACCCAGTCTTACCCCTGAAATGGGAGGCCTATTGAGTCGACGAACTCGAGCCACTCTCACCCATGCAAATCTAAGGATAATTCCGAATAAACAGGAGTTCATGGTTAGCTCAAGATTAAGATCGAGTTACCTAGATCATCAAATGAAAAGAAAATCAGTTTCAGCAGTAAACGACATTATAAAGTGAGAGTGATTTTCTTCATGGTCCGATCTTATGCAATACTCATTGCATAGCCCCCACTCACATGTCTCCGCATGTACAATTTAGTGATCACATTGTTTATGTCATATACAAAAGTGGACCACATCCATAGTGTCCTCAGGATAAGGTACTTAGCTTTATCCTTGTACTATAAATCATTTTGACTATATAATTGAACTTAATCCACTCTTATGTCTCTACATATAATTCAAGTAATGATACTATAGCCAAAATATTCTTAGTTTATTGGATTTAGATTAACGATCATAAAATTCACTTTTTCAATAGCAATCTATACTGAATAAAAATCAATAATAACTTTATTGAAAATAGAATATGGTTTTATTTATAAACTATGAGTTTTAGGACATAAAGCCCAACAGTAAGGTCTATGAGAAACATATTGACCTGGGTCAAGATGTAAATCGCACTACTAGTAGCACCATAATCTTAACGGAACACTCTCATGCATGTTTTGCTAGGGAGATAGTCCTATCGGTCACCTAAGCACATAATCCATAATTTAAACTTCACCTTAGTCGTATCTAGGAGCTGAGGAGATCTATTAGATTCCCAGGACGACTAGTTAGCTTAATGCAAACTTCTGGCTCCAGGCTGCTCTGTTCCAACTCCTGAAATCTTTCTTAGTCTGGGAGCACTAAGGCCTAAACCCTCTAATCGCCGCTCACGATCCTAAGGTGCTTAGGCGACTAGATGCGTTCTAACTTTTAGGTCATCGTCTAGCCAACCTAACTCTAATGCCCTTGCTCTATGTAGATAAATACGCTTTACAAAGAGATCACATAGTCAAACACCTTGAACTAAAACATACAAGCAACTAAGCTCAACAGGGAGATTACATCTATCAATCACCCAGATTATAGATCACAATAGTCCATCCTTCTTTCTAAAGAGCAAAAAAACATATACAACATTAATCACAAATTTCACTCTAGGGGCACATTGGTAATTTGTTACATCATGCATAACATACTCATCAATATTATCCAACTCGTATTCTAGCTTTGCATAAGACATTCTCAGAAATCTCAACTTAGGGGCATGACAGTAATTTTTTCATAATATTACATACAGCACATACTCATCCAAAAATGCCCTCTTGAAGTTCTAAACATGCATTTTCTAACTACATAAGGTAAAAATGCTCCACGTTTCTAGCGATCCCGATAAGTATTACTTGCCTAAAGTTCGTGTGGTTACTTACTTTGATGAAGTGTGCCTTCTCGAGCTAGCTTTTTGGTGTGTTTGGAGCTCCAAAATTTCTTAAATTTCTATGACAAGTCCTAATTCAAGAAAAATTAAGGTTAGTATTGTAATCGTTAGGAAAAATAGTTGAACGGGTTGAAATAGGGCTTAGTATTGTAATCGTTATGAAAAATAGTTGAACGGGTTGAAATAGGGCTTGCACATGCTCCCACACGCCCAAGAAGACGTCCATACACACGCTCCCACCCAACCAAAATGGAAGTAGAAATTTACATTTAACCTACGAAAACAACGCGGAACAAGGTCGAGAGTCTCATTTAAAATAAAAAAATGAGGAAGAGATTTCTTCATGTTAACTAAACCGGAAGAAAAATGAATGGAGTTTTGGTTATTTTGTAAAGGGGGGCAATTCAGACATTTTATTTTAAGGAGGCAAAAGGTTACATACCGTTAATTCGAAGAGCGGGTTAGAAAGACAGTGAGTCCAAGGAATTAGGCCATCCGTACACAAATCTCAATCTAACAGCGATTTACCTGTAGAACGGATTCTTCCTCAGCCAATGGAGTCGTCGACGACGCCGACGACGACAACGACAACGACGACAACAAATCCGCCGTTCTTTGCCCATTGTTACAGCAATCTTCTTTTCGTCTCTTCGCATTCTCTAACATAAATCATCCTTTCTTCTCTTTTTCTCTGCCAATCTCCTTCGGTTTACCTCAATGTCCTCCGCCGCCGTCGATAAGTCCTTCTTCTGCCACCAGTGTGATCGCGACGTTACTGTTGCTGTATCCAATTCCTTAGAGCCTTTGTGCCCATTTTGCAATGAGGGATTTCTTGAAGAGTATGATACTTTCAGCTCGAATGCCAATCTTGATTCTAGGTCATTTTTCCTTCTCGATCCTTTTCGTGATTTTAATCCCCTTGCTTTCTCTTCTTCGACGGTCGTTGATCTTCAAAACCCTGGTTTATTCTCAAGAACTTTGAGTCCGGCTTCACAGCTTTGGAATAGGAATCAATCCGATTCGTCAGGTCAGCCGGAGCCCTTCGATCCCTTTGTTTTTCTTCAGAATCATTTACGGGGAATTTTCGACAGTGGTGCGGATGTTGTGTTTGAAATTCAGGGTCATCCTTCCCTCTCTGGCGTTTCAATGCCTCAAAATGTTGGCGATTACTTCATTGGACCTGGCCTCGAGCAGCTCATTCAATTGCTGGCCGAGAATGATCCGAACCGACACGGAACTCCACCGGCCTCGAAATCGGCAATTGAGAAGCTTCAGAACGTGACTGTTACAGAGGATCTTTTGAATTCGGAAATGAACCAATGTGCTGTTTGCTTAGATGGGTTTGAAAAAGGTATTGAGGTTAAGCAGATGCCCTGCAAGCATATATTTCACGATTATTGTCTTTTGCCTTGGCTTGAATTGCACAATTCATGCCCTGTCTGCCGATTTGAGTTGGCAACGGATGATTCTGATTACGAGAATCGAACTCGTGGTCGCCGGGTGCAGGCTAATGAATCTAACGGAGAAGAACCAGGGTCAGGAAACAGTGGAAGTAGTAGCGAGCGCGTTGAGAGGAGCTTTAGAGTACCGCTATGGTGGCCATTTGGGGGCCGGAACGATGGGAGCAGCTCTGGTGGTGGGAATGACAGCGAAGGAGAGGGTAGCCCGTAGGATAAATACTGAAAATGTTCCGGTAACTTTCTCTCTTTGCTTTTAGTTTTGGCTTTTGCAGGCTAATTGCTTTGCTGTTTCTTTCACAAGTCTTAGAATACTTTTTGCTGCTTGATTAATCTTTCTCTAACTCTCCGTTGAAGAGCTTTCAAATATTGAATCTTTGTCCAAATTTAGTGGCTCTTAGATGCTGTTCTTAAGTGGGATAATGTGTCCTTCAGTTCTAGAGTTGGGTATTCATTATTTCACGTTAGCCTCCCCCATAGGTGGTTCTTGAGTGAAAGAGAACAAAGGGCCTATCCGACAGTTGATTAATAGAACACGCGGTTTCGTTACAGAAAACTTGTATGTTAACTGTCAAGCCCCGAAAAAAGGAGAAAGAAAAAAGTTCATAGTATTTTTTTCTTGTTCTGTTTTGAAGTAATTGTTCATACGGAACACTCTTTGTACAATAATATATTTGATATAGACTCGAGCGAAAACAGTTAAAAAATGCATATTAAATAAATTTGATATTGTGCACTCGAAGAAATCTTGAGGTTGTTTTGCTCTTGAGCTGCACTGTTAAAGGTATATCTAATGCTTTTGCTTATTTGTACTGTGGAGAGAGCTTCAATTCGAGACGTAGATGATGAAATAAATAGTCTATGGTGTTCGACTTATCAATTTGTAAAAATGTAAACCAAGTAGTATGCTTAGGATGATGCTACAAGCTGTTACTAGTACCTTGTGATTAATAGGTGATATTTCTATGACGTATGAAAGGAATAAATGCTTGGAATACTGGATAGCCAACATGAAATTTTATTCATAAAACTCCGAAGCATTAACGATCTTCTGTGCAATGCATAGTTTCTTGGTGGTATTTTATCCACAAAAAATTCTTTTGTAATTATAATCTTTTGATGATTATAGCAAATTATAATGCCATTCTGTTATAGCTGCTTTGGGCGAGGGGTTTCTCTACATTCAGCCTCTAGGTTGTTACCTTCCTCCATCTGAGATAGTTCCTTATGACAAAACAAAGATTACAAAATAGAGTAGGGGAAATAAGACATCAACCCATCGGAATTTGAACAAGTCCACAAAAAAGAATTCAAGTATTGTGATTACAAAGACAGAGATAAGTAAGATAACTGCTAATATCCCGAACTTCACTTGGAAGTCTTGACTTGCCCAAAGAAATTTGTGGGCCCTTCCTGATCATGCTTACCCATCTCTGTAACCACTTAAAGGAATGGCAATGACAAATCTTTTGAGGCCACCCTTTGGATTGCATCAAGAGTTTTGAGTCCTCTGCTTAGACTATTACATTTGCAACAAAAGAAAATATTGACTTTTGGCATTGAATTGCAATGAATCTTTTATTATCTACCTTTGACTTAAAAGTCATCAATGAATATTGGATGAAGTTCTCCATCTTCTGTGTGTGTTTGTTGATATCATTTTTGGATTGATTCACCTGTTCAATCGTTTGGACTGGGGCCCTTTTCTGTTTTGTTAGGTGTTTTGTATGGCTTCTTTTCTGTGCTGTTGCTATTCTCAGGATCTTTTGTTTTCTTTGATCTTTCCTCAATGGAAGCTTTGACTTTTTTTTGTCAAAAAAAGTTATTTTGTTCAAATGCTTCATTTATCTCTTCTATAGTGCCAGGCTCGTCTCACCTCTGCAAATAAGACATCTCATTCATGAGGTATGGCTTTTCTGCTTTAATATGAAGAAAACATCTCCTCTACATCTTTAGAAACAGCACGTTGCATTAAAATACAAGTTTATTTTCATAGATTCCTCTTGTGTCCAACTCAAGCTCTTTTAAAACATCGTACTTTTGCTTTGACCCAAGAAGAAGAGTGTATAGCAATAGATATAGTTTGGTCCTTCTTCTCGTTGGCTGAAAGGAAAAAAGGCTCGAGATATTAGAAAGTTGCCTCTGACTGAGTCGTAGTAAGCCCAAGCTTTAGATCGATTTTGATCCTTATTTTGCCTAGTTAGTCTTCTTATTCTGATGATGATGAATGAGCTATTAATTTGATTGAACTTGAATGACATCATAGTTCCCTTGTTGAGTTGATTCAAAAGCATTTGTGCAAGTGGCTTACGCTTCAAAAGTCGAAATGAAATATTAATTTTTTCGCTCTCCTTTTGAGAAAGCTTGTGCCTTTACTAATGCTAAATTGTTCGAGTTTGTAACGTACCTGTAAGTTTTTCTTTCGAAGTTTCTGGTATGTATGTGGCTTTGCAAAGATAAAAAGGAGCCCTCGCACAGTCAATGTCTTGTGTTCCTGACAACAGTCTTGGCAACATTTTATAGGGGGGTATAATTAGGTTGGTTCGGTTAAATTTGGGTGGAGCCCGAGTGAATTACGTGTAACAGAAAGAGGATGTGCAGGGAGAGGAATGAATTGTGAATGTAATTGTGGAATGTTGTGAGTGGGGCCTATGTTATTAGGACGTGGGCTTTAGTGAATACATGAGGAGTCATATATGGACATAGCTCTAGCATATAGTGTGGTATCTTCCTGGTTAGAAAGGCTTGGCCTTTTAGCAGAGATGGGTGCTCTCAAATTCTCCCTTGGACTTGCATCTCTCTGCTATCTATAAGAACTGCTTTTTATTAGATTTTTAGACATTGGCTTAGCACCAACCAAACCAAACCGAACCGAACCAACGACTTTAAACTTACTGAACTGAATTGGTGCGGTCGGCTTTTTGGGGTTTTGGGTCTCTATTTATCTTAATTTTAAATTTTGAGTTGCACCCAAGCATTTTGGATTACATAGTAAAACTACTAAATTGACCAAGATCTGAGAAGCATAGACGAGAAGATATAGATGATAAGACACAGACAGGGTGACATTTTATTTCCTAAAAATTTAGATAATATTTGTTATTAACTATGATGTGGACATTTAGTATACATGATAAAAAAGAGATTGGTATTTGTTAATATCTTTCTAAATTCCAATGCTTGTTCTGTGACTCAGAATTTGAAGACAATCCAAAATTGAATAATTTTCTTCGTAGTTTGAAGTAAGTTCAAAATAATTCATGCCGAGACGATATAATTAGAGTCGTGTTTACATGAAAAATTGGGAGTTGTGGAGCTGGTGATATCTGGTGATGGGATTAATTTGTGTATGTAGGCGTGCGTGTTTTCGTTTGAAATGCTCAGTCATTTCCTTTTCTTATATGTCGATCTTGCATACGAAACACGTACGATATGATATGAATTTTCTCTTGTTTCTCCATCACTAGTCTAATGGGGAGTATGGTAGAACAGGGTATTTGGACATGGGTTGTATATTATAAGGTTTTTGACTGATGGGTTAGGTTTATGCAGGTTGAGATTAGTGAATTGCTGTCTATTTTTGGTAGATAGGCTTTTTATCCTAAATAACATACTTGTTCTTTCGTTCTTTCGTTCAACATGTGAAGGTAGAGATTTGAACCATTAAGCTTTTGGTCGAGCATGTTTTAACTCGATGAGTTATGTTCAAGTTATCCGTAAGGTATATATTAAGTTACATAAATATGAGCTCATGATGTATCTTTTATAATGTTATATCATGATGTTTTGAATTCCAAATTCTTTGTCCACTGTATAAAATCAAACATAATGTTCAAATTCGACATCAATCGTAACACAAGCGTCCCATATGGTGATTATCAACATAATCTATAGTTTTGCGTTAAGAGTTGATTATGTGGAGATTATGACATTAATGATATGAACATCCATGATTCTGGCAATTCCTGACCATTGTGTTTAACCTTTTGTTTTCAGGCGCAGAGGCTTTATTTTGAGGTTGTCTTACACATTTAGAAGGAATTTGAGCTCCAACAAACACAAAAACAAGTCAGTGGCTTTTAGTTGTCTCTTTCTTTTTCCTTTTTTTTTTTTAAATTGTGTCATACTGCCGACAGCATTATGTATAGATGTGTTTAGTTTCTATACAAATTACAAATATGTTTCTCAAATCTCTGTTGAAGATGGAGAGTGAATGTGGATAACTATCTGGTTCATATAGCGTTTTCGACCTTGTATTTTGAGTATTGAACTATAAGGCTCCGTTTAATAATCGTGGCTTTTAGTTACTACTTTCACTTACAGAGTTCTTTTCTTGAGTTACCTTCTTTTTACGTATGTTAAACTTCGAGAATTGTTCAATTATCATTCTAAAGGTCGATAGTTTGATCTCACTTAATTTTTGGTAAAAATATGTGATAGTTCATCACTGCAAAAAAAAAAAAAAAAAACCTTGCTAAGGTGCCTCAAGTTTAGTATAATCTTAAAATTCTTTGACGTTGGTTTGTGACCTAAGCATGTTGTGACAATATAATATCTCGAAAGGCTCGAAGATTATGTTTGTTTAAGAGTTTTTTTTTTTTTTTCTTAAAAGTATACGTCTTTGTACTTTCATAATAAAAGTTTCTTTCTTTCAGGTGTTTATCTCTTCTCGTTTGTCATTATTTCTTCTGCATGGGACGTCTCTGCCTTCATTGCATGATCTCAAGATCTTATTGCATAACTTAAATTTGTATTTTATAATATATTTAGAAGGTAAGCCACTTGAGTAAAAAGATAATATACTATAATCTAAATTCAAAAATAATGGATCAATTATAATTATTTTTTTTATGATATATAAATGAAAGTAGAGGTATATAATTATTATCATATTATCTAGTAAATAATTATGTTCATTAAAGTTCAAAAATAAAAAATAAAAAATAAAAAAATAAAAAGTTAGATTGTGACCTTCATATTATCTCAATCTTTTTTCATTAATTCTACGAAAATTCAAAATGCTTTCTTTTTCTTAAAGCAGTTGGTAAGAATATATTATTTTAAATTATATTTTTCACTTTTTATTTATTTATTTTATTGAAATTCTTTTTTTCTTTTTTTTTTTTTTTTAATTTTATGAGATAAGATAAGATATCCTCGATAATTATATCTTTAGATATTTTATCCTATAATATATATTTTTAAAAAATATAAATTTTTCTATTTATTTTATTTATAAAAAGAAAATGAAGCCATATCTTATACCTATTGGTATAACTTTTTTTAAGTTAGAAAAAGTATTTTTAGCATGAAAGTCAAACTAATTAAACTTTTTTTTTTTTTAATATTTTTATGGTAGAATGTTAAAAGGCAATAAATAAAGAATATTATTTACATAGATGCGGTATTTAGTCAAACAAGTTTGATTACGGATTCAAACGTTGTGATAAGCTTGTCGAGTCAAGAATTTAATAAAGTTTTTAATATATGAAGTGACAATATTGTAGGATGACATCTATTACAAAATTAAAGGAAATGAGACTAGGTTTTGGTTGGAGACTAGAAGTAGACTGGCTAAAAATTATTTAGATCGTGTAAGTTAAGGATATCGTGAACGTGGAAGTTAAGGATACCGTGTAGTGATAGGTGAGAACATGGAAGTTGAGGAAACCGTGTAGTGATAGGTGAGATTGTGGAAGTAAAGGATATCGTGTAGTGATAGGTGAGATCCAATATGATAAGCTTAGTTTAGCAATGAACGAGAAGATAAGATGCACTCCACGTTATACGACATCGAGGGGTTCCTAAACTAGACCTGATCGAGAAGAGATAAACCTCATGATTTGTTAATAGTTAACATAACGATCCAAGTAGTGGCGTGTAATGCTTACAAATTTAGATATTTTAAAGATTTATATTAAAAAAAAAAGTAATGTTTTTCCTTTTGGCCCACAATTTTAAGTTTTTCATAAATGAAAATTATATGGAAAAGGGCATTTCAGTCATTGGAACCCTTTGCAAATGGAAGAAGATAAGCCAAGTGGGCCGCTTGGGCCCATTTGCATTTACAGCTCTTTTTCTCTCTCAACAAATTAAAAAAAATAAAAATGCCAAATTTATTACTCTTTTTTGCAATAATGGTCCAATTTTAATTTTCAACCTAATCTGAAAATAATTGGACTGAATTACCCCTCATCCAAAATAATTGTCCTTTTGTATTTTCTACTTTTTGGGCTAAAATATGACATTTTTGTCATTATTATTATTAGTCAAAACCCGAGCTTTATGTCTGAAACAACCATCCCTTTCATTATCTGCTTATTTCTTATAAAGATGTGAAAATCACTTACTAAACCCGTTTTAAAAACTTTAAAGGGAATCCAAAAATATTTTTATACAATTATATTTTATTTATTCTAATTAATTTGATTTATATATCTATATATATATAAAGGAAAAAAAATCATTGGACAAAATATGCTGGAATGACTCATGTTGGTTTGTGAGGATATTCTTCACTTTTAGAATCGATGAGTAAATAATGTGACCATATCGGAGAATGCTGAGGCCATTAGATACCAAATTTAAATTTTGAATCCCGATTTTTTAATTCCTAAACATAATTATTTTTAAGTATGATTAATTAAGTAAATGAAAAATGATAATTGTATGAGACAATGATTAATTCCCACCATATAAGTAATCAATGGCTATGATTAAATCAAATCTTTATTGTTATAGTTATCATATGGACCAATCATGTCTTTCATATTTTAATCCCAAAAATAAATAGGTTTAATCATATAATATAATTTAATTTAATTTCCCACTAATGTATAATTTTAATATTCAATAATTCCATTATTAAAAATAGTACAAATGATTAAAGGAAATTGAAGATATTAAAGGGAATAATAAAATATAATTGGTAATGATTCGACATGAAATAATATTGTATTACAAACTTTATTAAATTATTTCATTAAAAAGGGAACCATTGTAATGATTGTTAATCATTTGATAATCAATTTCCAAAACTACTTTTAGCTGATTCCTAAATGCTTCATCACTGCTCCCACTTTCTTGGATTCTGTTCCATTATTAGTTTTCATAATAATTCACTTTCGAAAATCGCTATGTCCCCATTTTCTATAACCATCGATTCAAAATGGGGTCAGAAGCTTGAGCATACTTTGTCGAGCTGTAGGAATCAAAATTGGCTTGACTCACTTAATGTTAGGAGTGAGTACCTCATAATCATACCGTCTGTTGCAAAAAAAAAAAAAAAAAAAAAAAAAATGATTGTGAAAAGTGGTTGAGTAAATTANGTTGTAAAAAAAAAAAAAAAAAAAAAAAAGTGATTGTGAAAAGTGGTTGAGTAAATTAAGTTAACGAAACTAATTTAGTGAATGATCATGGGTTTATAATTAATGAATACTATCTCCGTTTGAGGTCTTTTGGAGAAGCCCAAAACAAAGTCATGCGAGTTTATACTCAAAGTGGACAATATCATACCATTGTGGAGAGTCGTGTTCATCTAACATGACATTAGAGTCATACCCTAAACTTAGTTGTGCCAATAGATTGGTAAATTCTCAAATGTCAAACAAATGACTCCAAAAGAAAATGAGTCGAACCCCTCGAAGACATAGTAAAAAATGACTAAGACTTCAAAAGAGTCGAGACTCGATTAAGGGGAGGTGTTGGATGATGAGTCGAGCCTCCTCGAAGACATAGTAAAAAATGACTAAGACTCGATTAAGGGGAGACGTACTTTGTTCAAGGAGAGGTGTTGGATGATGAATATTAGTATATCGTTCAAATTCACAAGACATAATATTATATTTTTTAAAAACTCCCACATCGATAGAAGTAGATAAACGGGAATTAATTCTAACTCCCACATGATAAAAAATAGTAAAAGGTCTCGAGCAGAAAATGATCCTATTTGATCGCTTCTCAAAATTTTTAAACCAATTTATTATTTATAATTAAATAGCTACACACTTGCAATAATGAAATTTAAAACTTTTAGTATTATTATTTTTAAATCTACAATTATTTGAATTTCTTTTAAAAAATGAAATTAAATTATTTGGTATAAGGGCACGTGGCCTAATAATTTGGGCTCTCATTTACTCTTCCATGGACTTCCAATGTGTAACCCTCCCATTAGGGTTTTGACCTGAATCAAACTTATTTATTTTCAAGATTTTTGTGAGATTTCACATCGGCTAGAGAGGAGAATAAAACATTTCTTAGTAGACACGTTTAAAAACTGTGAGGCTGACGACAATACGAGATCCAAAGCGGACAATATCTGTTAGTGTGAGTTTGGGGGCTCTTACAAATGATATCAAAGTTAGACATGGGGCGGTGTGCCAACGGGGACGCCGAGCCCTCAATGGAGGTAGATTGTGAGATCCTACATCGGTTGGAGAGGGAAATGAAGCATTTCATAAAGGTGTTGAAACTTTTTCCTAGAAAACGCGTTTTAAGACCATGAGGTTAGCGATACATAACAGGTCAAAACGAATAATATCTGCTAGCAGTAAGTTTGAGTTGTTACTTTTTAGATTTATTTTATTATTTTAGGGTTACTCTTTTTATTTTATTAAGACCAAAAGCTTTTAAACAATATTTTCTCTTGATTTTTCTATACATTTTTTAAAATTATTATTATGATAAGATTGAGTACGGTCTTATTATTTAAAAAAAATGGTGCCAAATAGTCTATTTTTTAATTAAAAATTTGTTTTATCGTGCTAATTTTTTATTCCAATTTTACCCTTCTATTACACTTTTTTTTTCTTTTTTTGTATATTTTTTATTTACACGTGTGAATTGTATAATTAATTTAAATTATTTATTTTAAATATATGGATAATTTTACATGATTGATTGAATAAAAATTATATAATTATAAGTCTCCAATAAATTAATATTTTTTTATGAATTTTTTCCTCTCGGTCGTGTATTGATATTTCTCCAAATAGAAGTGTGGAACCGAACATTCAATTGTAGGTTCGGTTCTCGTGTTCGCAAATCTGTTTTTACACCATTAAAAAAATATATATATATATTTTTACTTTAAAATTAAAAATTATAATTATTAATCAAAACAAATGTATGTCATAATTACCGGAGTTGTATTTTTCTATAATTTTTATATATTTAAAAAAATGGGAGAAAGCATTTAAATAATTTGATTGCAAATATAAAAAATAATAGAAAACAATGACATTATTATTATTAAATTTTTGAACAAAATTAATTGTAATATATAATAGCGATGAAAAGTAAATAAAAGAAGCGCGTGAAACTCAAACGCCCACCATCAAACCAAGCAAGCCAGAGAAGCAGAAAATGAGAGATATGAAAGTGAGAGATGTGGGGCCCACCCAATGAGAGAGAAAAAAATAATAAAATAATAAAGAAAAGTGGAGGCAGCACCCATGTGCCTCCTCCTGTCTCCACCAGCTGCTGCTTCTCAATGATTAGAGCCCNCTGTTCCCAAACACTCTCTTCTTCTTCAAACCCCCAAATTCAGCAAAAACTATCTTCAAATCCTTCAAATCCGCCATTACCAGACCTTCAATTTCTTAAAGCCATGTCTGGTTCTGATGGCGTCGCTCACAACAATGGCGCCATAATTCCCCACTCCCAACAGAGCAACCAGACCACCAACAATGGCGCTCTGCCTCTCAAAAAACCCCCTGCTAAGGACCGCCACAGCAAGGTTGATGGCCGTGGCCGTCGTATTCGTATGCCCATCATTTGTGCTGCTCGTGTCTTTCAACTCACCCGCGAGTTGGGCCACAAATCCGACGGTCAGACCATTGAGTGGCTCCTCCGTCAAGCAGAGCCCTCCATTATTGCCGCCACTGGCACCGGCACTACTCCGGCTAGCTTCTCCACCATCTGCGCCTCCCTCCGTGGCACTCCTGCCACTCTTTCCTCTTCTTCTCCTGCTTCTCTCGACCATAAACCCCTTTTGCCTCCTGCCCCTTTCATTCTCGGTAAGCGCGTTAGACCTGACGACGATGCAGGTCATAAAGACAACGACGGCGGAGGCGGCGGCGGCGGTAACGGTGGTGGTGGGGCCATTTCTGTCGGCCCTTCTGTTGGTTCCATTATGGGTTCAGCTGCCGCGGGTGGATACTGGGCGTTTCCAGCTAGGTCGGATTTCGGACAGGTATGGAGTTTCGCCGCTGCTGCAGCTCCGGAGATGGTGATTCAACCGACGGCGATTTCTCATCAGGCGTCGTTATTCGCTCAGCAGCAATCAATTGGAGAAGCCTCGGCGGCGAAAGTGGGAAATTACCTTCCAGGTCATCTGAATTTGCTTGCTTCTTTATCAGGTGGACAGGGAAGTTCCGGGCGGAGAGACAACGACCACCGTTGATTTAATAATCCCGCCGTCGTTCACGGCGGCACTGTAACAATTCTCTCTCTCGTGGGTGTTCGTGTTCATAGAATTATATAAACTACCCTTACCCTCTTCTTGAATTTCTCTATCGTTTTCATTTCCCCTTCTGGTGTGGAGCTTAGAATCTTAGGGTTTTAGGGTATTGAATTCTTAGCTTAAAATGAGTTAATCTCTAGGGTTTTCTTCTTTCTTAAGATTGATTAGGGTTTTTCAGCTTAGAATCTTGAGGTTTTTCATTGCCAGAGGAACAAAAAAACAAAAAAACACAAAAAAAGTGTGTTTGTTTTTCACAGATTTTGCTATATTACCCATAATTAGCAAGAACTGTGTTAATTTGGGTGTTTATTGATTCAAACCCAGTAAAGCTTTTTCTCCATTTCAATGGAAATCCATGGTTTGTGTATGATCCGCCATTGATGGGTTTGTTCAAGCTTTTCTTCCTCTCTGCAACTCCTCTGTTTTTCTGCACTCTGTAATTTTCTTAGTTCTTGGAAGATTCCACGCCATTTTCTCGGAAAAGAAAAGGGAATTTTCTGGGTGGGAAAATTTTTGGGGATAATTTCAGCTTTGAATCTCATGGATTCATTGGATTCTGAAACAGCCAATGAGTTGTATTCTTTTTTACACTCAAGTTTGTGCTCTGTTTTCTTTTATTCTTATTCAATGCCATTCATTTGTATGCTCGTACACTCTGAGCTGCTTTCAATGCCCTTTACTGTATGCTTCCCTTCTCCCCTTTCTCTTCTCAAATTATTCGTGGCTTGGACGAAGAACGCTATTTGTCGAAAACCCGTTAATCGGGGCGTTCACGAAAGTTTCGTACACTGTCGTAGTATATATGTTAAAACTATCAACTCGAGTATAATTCAAATAGTTAAAACGTGTATCATGAATTTAGAGTTTAGAAGTTTGAATCATGAGATGTACTCCGAGAGTGTTGTAAAATTTTCAGAAGCTCGGGCTAACTTAAATGTTGTTGTTGGTATGTTTTGATCGTATATTAAATGAATTGAGTTGATTAATATTTTTTAATAAGTCAAATTGAACCAAATGAGATCTCACAATCCACTCCTTGAGGTCCCGTATCCTAGCTAGTACACTGCCCGATGTCTAACTCTAAAATCATTTGTAACAATTCAAGCGTACCACTAGCAAATATTGTATGTTTTGGCTCATTACATAAAAACGCATCTACTAGTGAGAGGTTTCCACACTCTTACAATAAATGTTTCGTTTCTCTCTCCAACCAACCAGTGATCTCACAATAATCTTCCACATAATTTCTAAAAACTCAAATTTCAATATTATGACCTAATCTTCCACGTTTGAAATATATAACAAAATGAGGCAAATCAGAGATACGGACGGTATCGAGGGCGAGGACGGGAAATGTACTCCCAGCCCTTGTTCCCGTTTACCTAATGGCTAAAAAAACTCTTCCCACTCTTCCAATGAGGTAGGTCTCAACCTCGTAAGATTAAATAGACATCTTTACTTAGAGTGGATAATTAATCGTCGAGATTATTTGGTCTTACCCTTTCCGAATTATCCACCCCACTTGTTAGGTCATTATCAAAATGTTTTTTTTTTTTTTTATAGAAAAAAAAGTCATAATTAATTAAATAAAAATATTATCATTTTCAAAACCATATTTTTGTCTTTTTCGTGGATTTAAGATGACCATTTGACTTGTTAAGATCTTTGGACAAATCCTTAAAGATGATAAGGGCTAGATTTGGTATTTTCTAATTTTGTTTATATTTTTTTTCTTATTATAAATTAGAAAATATTGCTTAAAAAAAAAAATAAATAATAAAATATATATATATATATATATATATATATATATATGTATGTATATATTTTTAATTTTCAAATATATTGCTAAAAAGGCATGTTGGAAGGTTGTTCATTCATTTAAAATTATTATTTATAAATTAATGGCTTTGTAATAATGGAGGGTTTTAGTGATAAAAAAAAATGGACCATTCTTATTAAAGGAAAATAGGAATAAATTTTTCATAATTTTTTTTTTATTTGGTAATTTAATAATTTAATAGCCTAGCAAATGTCACGGTCGTACATTTTTCAATTGTGTAGTGTCGTGATATTGACATGCTCACGATAAGGTTTGAGGGGACAACAAGCGCTTATTCATTTTTCCCTCATCTTTGTGGCTTCGTCGAACTTTGGGCGAGGTTTGTCTTTGCAAGTCAAACACAACTTGTGGAGAATCCATGTTTGCTTGGCTACACACGCTGCCTGCTCGTGCAGGTTCAATTTTCTGTGACCCAACCGATTGTCTCTATATTAGGTCAAGTTATTTGACTCAACCTTGCCTTTACTCGGGGCCAAAAATTTTTTATGGGTCACGTCACATCTCATCCTATCATCTTAGTTCCAAATTGACATGGTTATTATGTCTTGATGTCATCTCAAGTTCTGGGATGTCATTGGTTAGCTTTAGCTTGCTCGGTCATACTCAACAAGAACAGGCCCATGTGTCGTTCATAACATTGGGATATCCTGAACATCATCTATTGAAATTCTGTGATCCAACCTCCAATCCATGGGTGGAGGTGCAATATGGGCACACTCATGTCTTCAAACACTATTCTTGAAAGACCCATTTTAAACATTTGAAAACCTAAGACACTCGTCTTGTAATGCTGACCCTCACTGTGGCACATGCAAGTAGCTTGCTTAGGCCATAGGGCTGAAGGGTGGGGGAGAGCCGACACCATGCCTTCCTCTAAGGTACATTTTGAAGCATTTCCAATTTGGCAAATGTAGACATGATTTTAGCAAGCGGTCATACGGTGTAGAGCGTCGTTCCAGTGTTCGATTGGTACCAAATTTAGCAATTTTTAATCTTTCATATGAATGAATTTACTTCTAGAGCTGCATTTCCAAACTCCTTCCGAAACCCCAACTTTCGAGGTTAAGACCCAAGGCTCTACCCAACCCTTTATCAAGCTTATCTTTGTCTCTCATATTGACATCATTGTCTCATCTCACTTACGCCTCAACTTGGCTTTAGTGCACATCTCATTGATGTGTTAGATGTGCATTGCCACCTTGATCGCATCATAACACTCATCTTTCTTGGCCCTCACATGGCCAGATGATCTCACTTAAGTATCGTAGCTATGCTTTCCGTTACGTGAGGGTCATAACCTAATCTCTTCATAGTATGATTGTGACATTCTCTTTCACTTAAACTAGTCATCATACTGTTCAATAAATTATTAAAAAAACAAAACTAGAAATAGATATTATAACAATCTCAATTTTCAAAAAGGATAAATGAGAAAAGCCAAATATTTGTGAAAAAAAAGACTACCAAAAAAAGGGTCTTTTCTTAATTTATTTATTTTATTTAATGGTCCCCAAAACTTCATTATTTCAATTTTTGACCTTCCCTTCAAATTTGATTCTTTATGTTTTTTTTTTTTTTTTTTTTCGTTTGGATGTTTGTGGTTTTAAAAGTTTCTGTTTTGGGTCGGTTTTTATTTGATCCTTTAAAATTTTAAAATCTTCGATTCGGTCCTAGTCGTTTAGTTAATGAGTTCCAACCTTCCGCTCTAATATTCTCGAAAGAACGCTATCAATTAATTGTAAAATATAAGAATAAAATGGATATTTTAATTTTGTTTAAAGTAAAGTAAAATAAAATAACTTTTAAAACTTTTCTAGGTACTTCCCATGCAAATTTATAACGAGGAATCAGATAGATAAGGGACAGCAGGACCCCAATAATTGGGGAGGCCCACAAACATAACTCCTTTATTTTTTCTATTTCTTTTTTTCTATTTATTTAAAAAAAAAAAAACATTATTATTATTATTATTATTATTATTATTATTATTTATTATTTTTGCTACAATGGCCCACCAAATTAATTGGCGTATTGAGAAAGTGGGGGAAAGTTTTAATAAGTGGGGACCATCTTGGGTCAAAAATCTTAGTTCTTCATGGCTCTGAATCATCTTTCATGGGCCCATAGGCCCACAGTTAACAAAGTGGGCCCAAAATCATTCTCTTGAATCTCGTATCCCAAATTTGTGGATATGGGGCACTAATGGGCCCATGAAAGCAGGTAACCCTCACTTGATGGGCCCTTCTTAATGGGCCCATGTGTGAAAGTGGGCCAACCCTATACTGGGCTTTTGGTTCGTTGACTTGTGTTTGTCAGCCATAGCAGTGGGTTGGTTCCAGACAATATTCTTGACTTAGTTAGTTAAAGAGTCATTCGTCCATTAAAATCAAAATTCAGTAAATTATGTTTTAACACTTTAAAAATTAACCTTTTATGTGAAGGTAATATTAAAATCACTTCCAAATATATTTAAAAGAATTTTGGAACAAATATTAAAACATGTTTTTTTTATTATAAATCTTATTTTTTGAAAGGGTGACCCACCAAGAATTGAACTACAAGTAAAAAGACTGAGAGGAAAAAGTGGAAAATTAAAAATCAAATTTATATTCATCCCACCTATGAGGGTCATCCTCATCGCTTTCATTTTCATCGGCCTTTAATGGACTGTGAAGTTCACCAACACATTCTTCCTTTCCTGTCTCCTGCACTTCTTCTCCTTCAGGTTTTGCCACTTCCTCCTGTTCATACAAACCATTTTCTTTTCAAAATTACTTTTTAAATTCAGGGTGGGGTCAGGGAGAATGAAAAAAATCGAGTGACAACATGATGAAATTGACTAAACCAAGTGGAATTGGTTTCTTTTAAATGACTTTTTTTTTATGGATTCAATTTTAACAAGTAGTTAAATCACCGCTGAACCCAAAAGCTTAAGTTGATGGGTCACAGTAAATTTAGTTGGTCACAAGTGATCAAGTGATCAAGAGAAAGAAAACGTACATTAGTTTCAGGAGACAACTCTGGGAGTTCCTCGTCCCCAGTATTTTCAGTCAATTCATCTTGATTGGACTCTTGTTTTGCCTTATTAGCAGCTTCTTTCAGCTGCCCAATCAACGATAAAAATTGGGAGTGGTCTGCAAAAAGTTTCGACTGTAAGGCCATAATACCCAAACCAACAGATCATAAAAAAATTTAACAATACAAATGGACAGAATTACAAGAAAAAGACATCATTAGCCATATTGCATGAAAAGATCAGGAGAAAGGGCAAATGAAATAAGCATTACCTGTGGCACGATTAGTTACAGCATCAGATAAGCGAAATGGATGATGGCGTTCTTCATTTTTGAATTTTAGTTTAATTTGATGGCGTGTTTTGCCTGGAAACAACTGTTGTATCATACAAAAATCCGTTCCGAATTGTCGAACAGCCTAAAAGGTATGCGAATAAAGAGTTTAGTTCGATGCTAGAAAAAGAGCAGACCATAAAACCATCCAATTGGTTCAAGATGATGACATTCCAAATACCAACATGTTTAACCATAGACACAAAAGCAATTTCGTTAATAGGCAAACAATGCAAGAACCAAACTACAACGCGTAAATTGCTACATAATTTTTTTTTGAATACTTCACTTCACAAGATTTTTCAAGGACTAAATCATAACAAAATTTAAAAACTACATGAACTAAATTTTTACCTAATATAGATAAGTGACTAAATCATTACAAACTTAAAAGTACAAGGTCCGTACAAATTTAAAAGTATAGAAACCAAATAGTTGCCTACTAAAATTCATTACTTGGATAAAACTCTCAGGATCGAAAGTAGTATTTCACCCAAATACAAAAGAACAAGGCAATAACCCTAAAGGCCAAAAGGATACCAAAAGTTTTACTAATTGTCTCTAAGGCCAAAGGCTTGAGTTTTTGGAGTAGACGTTCAAGAAAGCTTCTAGATAAATAACCGGGAAATAGGGTTTAGATTTGCCTTCCCCCCACCTATTTCCCGGTTATTTAGTTAGAAGCTATCTTGAACGTCCACCCTATTATGTCTCCATTCAAATTTATAGCAATGCTTTCCGCTTTGTAGCACAGGAGAGAGACCATTTATGCAACGCTCTATCAAAAGGATATGTTCTTAGACAAAGGTTCCAAGTTTGTTCCGTTTCAGTCCAACACCCATTAAACAGGCAACCTCTAACGTGGGAACTGTTTGAGCTTTCCTACCATCTCCCGACTAGAAGCTAGAACCTTTCTCCAAAAAAGACAGGTAATATAAAAATTGCTCCAAGCCAATCCAACCAAATAATATCACCCTCTAAACCATACTCTTCATGCCCGCCTATATGATGCCAAATTATTTTCTTTTATACAAAACCGGTCTTGCATTGATAGGGAAAAAAAAAAAAAAAAAAAAACAAGGGCATAAAAAAAACTAAACTCACAGAAAGAAACTCAACTAAAGAATGGGGCTCCAATCAAATAAAATGAGACCAAAAATATAATTATTGTCGTCGGAATCCAAAGAGAAACATAGCACCTAATGCGGAACCAGATATCACTAGGGTCCCTTTCAATCCCAAAAAAGGTCCTATTACTCTTCTCTCCACATAAAAGTCACACAACCCACAAAACTCCCGCTTGCCACAAAATCTCCTCCGCATCTAGAAGATGGATGGAGAAGGGTCCCCTCAATTATGTAACTAAAACCTCACACAAAACGATAGCCAAATTCATTAAATATAATCATATAAGAAAAACATCCATCTCAAGACAATCTAACTTTTTTAATGCTTCTGCACTCTTATAGGGAAAAAAAATTCAAAACCAAGTTAACTCAAGTTTCAACCAAGTCCAAGAAACAAGCTGAAAGTTTTGGCCCTTCAGGACAAGCAGAATAAATAAACATCAAGTAGGAATACGAAAATTCTTGGGGAAAATAGGAGGTTTAATTACCTCATAAAAACGCTCTGTATCGTGCTTTGACCACTTTATACGTGGTGTTTTGTCCATGAAAGAATGGTAATTAAAGTAAGCAGAAGTCATGTCAACTACATCAGGGGTTTCCTCATCATCGGTACCTCTACCTTGTTCAGAAGCAAGGCTTTCCTCTCCATCATTGAAACTTTCCACACCGGCAGTGTCAGTTCTGGGCATAAAGAAACAAAAAGGAGTAAAAAAGAAATCTTTTCTCACATCTCAGACAAAACTAAAATACCATGAAAAGTAAGTTCCTTGATTTCCACAACACTAATACAAAATGTTCAAGCAGAGAAGCTTTGGCCAGCTTTTTAAAAATGCATTCACTGGAATTTTCCAAATTACCCAATTTCCAGCATCTCCTATCTACCCTCTAGAGATTGGCACTCCCCTCGAACAAATCCAGAATTTCATCAAATTTTCTCACCTTCTCATTCAAAGGAGGATTTTTTTCTTACAGTATTCTCCAAGATCCATTTGTGCTAACATGAAGCCTTCTTTGTAATTTATCTTAAATTTAGGCTTACCCTCCCCCTTTTATATTTATATATTTCATCTCATTCACAAAATAGTGCTTTATGATTCATTACATAACAATTGCATCTATCACTACACATTTAATTCATTTATAAAAAATAATGACAATAAATTCATTATAAACAATTTATAGAATTAAAACAAAGATGACATGAAAGTTTTGGACCTCTGATTGGTTGCTGATTTTCTCATGCTTGCCTCTTTCTTCTACATTAAAAATAGTAGATCTCATCTCGTTAGTAAACATGAGACAGAAAATAGCTAAAACCCACCAACCAGAGAAATAAAATCATCAGTTCTGTGAACTTCTGAGGTACGAAAAATAATATGTACCTCTAACTTCTCCTTGTACTCGTGATAAATAATGAGATCCCTAAAACTTATCTTTTGAAAGTCAATTTCATCCTCCGGAGTTTCCAGCAAAACCTTGTTTACTGTGAAGGCAGAAGATAATTAACGATCTGACAAAAGCATATTCCTTCATTAACTATACATAGTGATTGTAAGAGATTTAAAGAAATAGTTACCTTGCCTTCTATTCCGACGAGTTGAATGGGAGAACTTCTTAGGACGCTTTTCGGCTTGAGTATCGGGAACTGATTTATTAGACTGCTTGCGCTTCCGAGCTGGTTTTTCACTATCACTAGATGGTTTTGAAGACTTTTTTGAAGCTTTTTTTCCTCGAGATGTGCCAGCTTTTGAGGTTTCATTGGGGAAATTCCTATTCTCGTCAACACCATCTTCTGGCTCATCAGGTTGATGAGAAACCTTCTTTCTTGACTTCCTCGAAGTTTTGCTCTGCTCGATTTCTTCACCAACTTGGGAGAACATCTCTTGCGGCTGAGAAATATTTGATTCCATTGAAGGTTTTCCTTCGCCAGTCTTACCACTCTAAAAACCTCAATTACAAAAATAACGTGTTAAAATAAACAAACAGAATTGCAAAAACTAAAAGCTATTGCATATTCAGTTACACATTTCAAGTCATTTACATTACCACTTCTCTTGACGGATCTTGATCATCTGAATTAAAATCATCCACCAGTATGTCATCATAAGAGTCAAATGCTAATGGCTCTACATTAACTGGTGCTTCAGTATGCTGGTTGACAGGAGTGTAACCATCAAAGTTGATCGATGAATCATTCAGAATGCCATCAAAATCAGAACCAATTGAGGTGTCATGCATGCACCTAGTATCATGAGAAATAACTTGTGGAGATGGTGGAAGCATGTTAGAGATTTCAGGCTGAGATATTTCCATGCAAGCGTCTTCTTCTGCAGTTCTTATTTTGGGCTTTGTTGTATACTTGCAATCAGGTTGTTCTGAAAATAATAAGAATTTAATTAAAGCATAATATTTCCAAAATGATACAACTATAACACAGAAAATTGGTTGAATTTGCCTTACCAGATGGACTAGTGTCACCAGAACTTATTGTATCCATGGTGATATCAGCCCCTGCCCCACGTTCCTGAAACCTTAACCATACGTCAACGAGTGAAGAAAGATGCTTTCAGAATAAACAACTTCACTTGTTGACAAAACCAGAATTTCACCTCGATTTCCAACCTTTGTTTATCCAGATCTCCATCATCACTGGAGATGGTTGCTTGCTTAAGGCTTGCAGGATCTTTAAATGTATGAGAACAAACATTAGAACAAGCACAATCGAGGAGGAAACGTGAGATAAGAAATGTCAATAACTCACCTGCTTCATTCTTTGGTTGGTTATGAAAATCATCTAGGTATTCCAATTCGTAAAATATATCAATATTCTGAAAATAAAATTACTATTAGTACAGAATTGAGCAAAAGAAGATGTACTTAAAACCTTAATTTCTCAACCTAGATTTAATACTCAAATATTTAGCACATACCTCTTCCGGAATTTTGCCATCACTGAAATGTCTGTCCTCAGTTTGAATTGATCCTAGTCCACTTTGATCCAAAACCGTAGCCTCATGAGCTGTAGAGGAACTTGGAGTGGAATAATTCAATATTCCCGAATTTCTGGTATCAGTCAATTTTTTCACTCCAGCTGGATCTAAGGAGAAAGTATGAGATTGATTGGATCAGTCACTTTATCATCTTGAACATTAATGGAATACATGTGTCCGTCACAATGAATAACAAGACTCGGATATTGAAATATAAATATTAAGAACAACCATACTTGAACAGGACTTGTTCTATAGGTTGTACAACTGTGTCCTTGAGTTCGAAAGAAAACACAGTAAGTCTAATTCAGAATACTAGCACCCTCCAGCTCAAGACTAAACCACTACGATATTACTTCCCCGCAAGACCAACCCTCTTATTTATAACAAATATTACCAATAGATCCCAACAAATACCTTGCTAGTTCTTATCCTTTGCTAACTGTCTTTTTTGGGTCATCGTACATGTCAAGTTGAAACCCATACCATTCAATTCGCAGTAGAGTAATATTGCAATTTGCAAGTACTTAGATGATTGGAAAGAACGTTACATAATGTAAAATAATATATTTGGATAAATTACAAAATTGGTTCCTGTTCCCAGAAAAATATTCAACTAGATCCCTACGGTTTTAGAAGTTTCAATTTAATCCTGAGGATTAACTTTCATTTGGTCTCAATGATTGTGGCTAATTTTAGGGACGATTTGTGAAGATAGAAATCATGGGGACCTAAATGAAATTTAATCATAGAAACTAAATTGAAATTACATCCAAACCATTGAGATCGAACTAAGACTTTGCCCAAACTATAGAGACCAATTTTATTATTTCATCTAAGTATTGAATTGTCGAAGGTATCACATCATCTTATTTTCATTTCATCTTTCAAATGTATCATGCAAATTCCAACTAATGGTTTAAACTAGTACTTACCATCGGTAGTAGAGCCCGAAGGAAGAATCCTGCCACAAGAATCAAAATCAAGCTGCATAGAGTCTACCTGGAAACAACAAATGTCCCTACCAAATCAAACTTACAAATGAAATAATATATAGTTGTATTAGAATAGAAAGATCCATGTGGCCAACTTTCTGGTGTTTTGGCACTAAACAAGGTCGACAATAATAAGCAAATTACCATTTTAGCACTTTCCACAGAGGGAGGATGTGAACTGATGAAATCAGATCTTGCGGTAGCCAAGAGCATATCATCTTCAGATTCCTTGTTCTCCTCTATCACAGGAAGTTGGGATGACGATTGGATTGATTTTGTATTTCCTCTACCATCGTGACAAGATTTAGCATCTGAGACTGTTTCCTGCAAACAAAGTAGATTCATAAAAACATTTTCTCAGAAATATCCCACAAAATTAATCGTCCATCACTCAGGAAGATACCACACAGGTCTTACCTTCTTATCCTGAGAATGAGTACACGATTGTGGTGCCAAAGTTGGCTTTTTAGGACGTGGTTTGATCTTTGGTTGAAATCTACTCCCAGTTCGGGCTGCAAAAAACCAATATCAATAACTCACTATCAAGAAAATAGAAATGCACAAGTTGATGTATGCAAAACTTACACGAGATGCTAGGATCAGAAAGAATGTCATCAAAAGGGTCCATAAATGAAGCCTTGAGTTTATCCAACACCAACAAGAAGCCTTCGGATGATACAGAAGCTTCTGGTTCCTTTTTAGTATGTAAGAAATCCCAAGTAAAAATGCACAGATATGTTTAGGGACAAATAGAGCACATAAAAAGTGCAAAAGGATAATTTCAAGCTGGGATTTGTGGAAGTGGTTACCAAGCACAAGAAGAACTCTAAAGTAAAATTACTTGGTCGTTAGGGACAAACAAGAGTAATTGCTAAATATGGGACAATTATATGGGGGCTAAATACATTTAGGATGGTTAATTTATTGGACATTCTTTTTCTTACAACGTTTTCCGAATGTCTAACATAGTGAATTCGATTCTCACAACTTTCTCACTACAAGAAAGTTGTGAAAACATAACAACACCTAAACTATAACATGCTGGAATTTTTCTTGCACCATCCTCGCTGTGAGAAAGTTGCAAGAAAAACTACAATGCCTTAATTGTATGTTGTTGGAATTTTTCTCGCTGCTAATTATATAAATGGTACATAAATAAGGACTAACTGCACAATCTAATACAAGAATTCATAATCTAACAACCAATCGGAGACTCAATGAGGTGAGCCTTAACAATGAATCAGTTGTGATCATACATTCTTTAAATGTTCAACTACGAAATTTTAAGTGTAGTAAATGAGTTGATTCATGGTTGAATAAGCTACTGATATTATTAGGTTCTTTTAGTTGTATAATTGTATTAGCAGCAGTTTGTTACAGAGGCAGGTTGTTCTTTATAAATATGTAACCCTGTTCGTGCAATTAGTAATATTAACAGCTTAGTCATTCAACCATTATATTAGTCTCTCTTATCTCTAGAGCTCCTTACCAACAAAGGAAACGCAATTGGCAGCGTGAGTAAGGCATGAAGCAAACAATATAAAATTCTGACTTCTTCAAGTTACACGAATTACTGATTCGTATAACTGACTTAAGTATTTAGGCAGTTCACTTCTGAGAGTACTGCTTTTTCTATAATTCTTGTCATTGGGCCATTTCCAACCGCACCATTTTTTTAATTAAAGCCATTTATCATCATGTGCTCGCAACAAATTTTGTGTAAGGCTAATGAACCAAAAAGCCCATCATAAGATCTAATCAAACTCGTGTAACAACTTGATCAGACATAACATTTCAACTACAGAAATTACAAGGAAGAAAATGAAAGGATAATGTACTCTGAAAAGACTACTTAAAATCACGATTTATGTTAATTCAGCTGATGAGATTAAAAAATATATACTTCTAAAAATTGGCATTCTTTCTCGCAATGTCTTACACTTGCAAAACAATGTGAGAAATCATGAGAAAGGGCATAATCAAGCAGCCTACAAACAAATCAAAGATAAACATCCAACAAAAAAGAAAGGCAAAACAAATTTAAGGAAGAACAAAATTTAGCATAGAGATTTTGAGCGTTCTCAGTTGCAAAAAAAGTGTCACAATCAAGTCCCAATAAACAATAAATAGTTAAACAATCGAGAATATCAATAATAAAAGTACAAAAAATAAAAAAAAAATTGGAACTTTGCATTCTGTTTCTTTCTCGCACATGCAATCCAATGTGAGAATGAGCACACAAAAAAGCCTAACAACCAAAAACAAATCTAAGGAAGAACAAAATTTATCATACAGATTTTGAGCAATCTCAATTGCAAAAAAAAAAAAACGTCACAATCAAGCTACCAATAAAAATTTATAGTTAAAACATTACAAATTAACAATAATAGAAGTACAATAGATCAAAAATTGACAAGACACTTTTGCATTCTGTTTTTTCTCACACATTCAATCCAATGTGAGAATGAGCACAGAAAGAAAAAGCTAACAACCAATCGTTCATAGTCAAATATCTCCAAAAAAAAATCTGCAAACAACTCACATTCTGTTCCTCAGGATATATACTATATATGTAAAAGGCACTATAGAGGAGAAACTTGATCTCACCACTGTGCCTTCTACCTTTTAATAATAAATCTATTCTGCTCTTTTTTTTTTTTTTTTTTTTTGTTGAAGATTATTAAGGGCGTTAGTTAAAAATGATAGATCAGAAGCAAGTTTCTAGGTAGAAGTTGTTGCAATTCTCAAAGATTAAGAACTTAAAAGGACTGGATAGAGAACACGAAGAGAATGAGTCCAACTTTGAGAAGCTGCAGTTTAGTAACCCTCTGGCCATTGCACATGACATCAGACCACAAATGTAGAGTCTCATTGAATTGTATTTGAACATTAATTATGGTTCTAGATATTGTTTCTAAAAAAAAGGGAGACGAATGGAATCAACAAATTTATAAATCTTAAGGAACAGCCCATTCCATGTTTCAATGCTTTACCATTCGATTTCTGTTGATGTCAAGAATCCACATTCTCATTTTCCTCATCTAGATAATTCATCTTCCTCTATCTAGCAATATATTCTTCATATTTAATCTTGATTCTAGTCAATTTGTGGAGATTTGCAAAGAAAGGACATAATTGAAGGATTTAAAGGGAGGGAAGAAGAGGCATCATTACCCATATTCAATATGTTGATGACACACTTCTTTTAAGTAAGTACAATCCAAAAGCTTGCAGCTATTTTTAAATATTTTTGCAAAGGCATCTGGTCTCACTATCAATATGGAGAAACAACCTTGATTGGGCTGAATGTCAATAGACGAAACTAGTAAAGAAACTTTACTCCTAGGAAGCTGGGAAGGACTTTTGCTCATCTCTTACCTTGGAATGCCTATTGGAGATAATCCCAATAATATTTCCTTTCAGGACCCAGTGATGGACAAAATCAGGAACAGCTTGCCTAGTGGAGGGGATTTCCTGTTTCTGAAGGAAGCAGATTAACGTTAGCAAATGTTGTTCTCACAGGCATCCCCCTATATTTCCTTTCCATTTAGGAAATTTCCTAGAAAGTCAGCCCTACCATTGAAAAGATTATTGGGAATTTCCTTCGGGAAGGGATCAATGAGGAAGGAGGAAACCACTTGGTTGGCTGGAGAAAGGTTACGAATCCTTTGTTGTGTGGTGGTCTAGGGATAGGTGATCTGAGAAGGAAGAATTCAGCCCTTTGTCTGAATGGTTAAAGGTGCCCTTTGGAGAAAGGTTATTGAAAGCAAAGTTTGGTAAAACTAAAGGGTAGAGGGTTTCTTAATAACAGCAAGAAGCTTAAATACAGCCCCTGGAAAAAAATATGCAAAATCTGAGAATAGTTCCTTTTAATTCAATTGCAAGAAAAGAACGTCTTTTCAGAGTTTGCTAAGAACACTAAGCCAAGTAGTCTAAGGCTAATTTTTACATCTTGCCAGTAGTCCATAACTGCTTAAATACCTTAGAAAGATTGCAACGAAGACATCCTCATACGGACCTTTCCCAAATATGTGCCTCCTTTGCAGACAAAGTTCTCAATCCAGCAGCAACCTCTTCCTTCATTGTCCTTTTGCTTGTAAGGGTTGGTGTTTCGTCCTGAATACTTTCAATTTGGCTTGGTGCTCCTAAACTTTAGTTGATGGTCTTTCTGAATTTCTCTCAGGCTGTTAGTTAAAGAGAAAACTATAATTTTATGGTCGAATTCTTACAGAGCTCTTCTTTGAGCTTTATGTAAAGGAGGGAACAGCAGATGATTTTCAGAAAACTCTTCCTCAAGCAGTTTCTTTTGTGAAAGAGTACACTTTAATGCCTCTACTGAGAGTGCTTTACACATTTTTTTCTTCCTTTTTTTTTTTTTTTTTTTTTTTTTTTTTTTTTTTTTTTTTTTTTTTTTTTTTTTTTTTTTTGTAATACACAATGATTGTTCATCAATCTGGCTTGGAGGACTTTTATGTTGTGATCCTCCGTTTTGGGCTTAGGGATTCCTCGTCCCTGATGCATTAAGGCTATGTTCTTCCTCTTTTGATAAATATACTATTTCTTTTTTTCGAATTGTATGGCTGATTCATGTCCGAATCAGAACAACCAACACGCAAAACCACGTCCCAATTTGCCACACGACTGTTTTTATTTACGCTGCTATTCAGCCATTGTTATGCCAAAGAAGAAATAAAAACAAAAAATAAAAAAAGAAACATTCGTTCTTTCATTAGACAAGTGCTAATTTGTGTTTTTCAAGTGAGAAAAAAAACGCAGATGGAAACTGAGGGAGTACCTGTAAAACAAGGGAGTAGAAAACCAGTGCCAAACCCTAGGAGGAAGGAGGCTACGGCGCCACGAACGGAATAAACACGATGGCGCTGATAGAAGTGAACGGTAGAGAAGCGGCGGCGACACCGAGCTGCTGCAACGGAGGAGGAGAGGGCGCGAAGAAGTGGCGTGGAACAGTTTATTTTATTTTACGAAGTGGGCTTAGTCTTGTTTTTTTAAAGCAAAAAAGTGGGCCGATTTAACGGGGACGTGGACTAATTTGATTTTCTTTTTCTAATTTTTTTTCCAATAATATATATATATATATATTTATTTATTTATTTATTTTTTTTTTTACTTCAAGGATAAACTAATAAAAATATTTCAAAACTTTAGCTCTAGTTTAAAAATATCCAATTTTCAAAAAGATTTGATAATAGTTTAAATAATATACTTAAATTAAAAAAAACTTTTAAAATATTATTTTCCCTAAATTTAGATAGATAGAGTTATTATTTTATTTCAAAATATTATCTAGTTATTATTTTATTTAAAAAATATTGATAATATTTAAAAATACAGTTGAACTTTAAAAATTCTTGTGAGTAGTCCAATTTAAATATATATATATCGTGTATAAAAAATATTCCAGAAATTTTAAAAGATTCTTAAGGATATTTTTTTAACAAATTATTAACTATTTATATCTCAAACTAATTACAAATATATTTTTTAACTGGTTTAAAATTTATAAGATTTATGAATATATTTAGGCATTTTTAAAAAATTTAAAGATATAATTCTTCAAATCAATTTTGGAAGAAAATCATTTTTATTTTATTTAAAAAATAATCTAAAACTTATAATAACCTTTCGAATATACTTTAAACTTTATAAAATTTTATTAATATCTTTTTTATTTTTTTTTTAACAAATTAAAAAAATACTATTACTAAATATCAATAATAATAATAATAATTATTATTATTATTATAATTATTTCTAAAACACATTACTAAGAGTGTCTATCTGATTCGCAGATTGTAAAATTGAATCCAAACGCCAAGGTGAATCAATGGCTTCGAGAAAGGGCGGCAGCGCCGGCGAAGGGGTGCGATCGTTGGAGTTGGAGAAGATGAGTGTCGAGCAACTCAAAGCCATCAAAGAACAGACTGACATGGAAGTCAATCTCCTTCACGATAGCCTCAACAACATTCGCACTGCCACTTCTCGCCTCGACAATGCCTCCGCTGCCCTTCACGATCTCTCGCTCCGTCCTCAAGGTTAGCTTCTCTCCATTTCTGGAAAATTAGTGTAAGTTTTTGTGTTTGGATTCTAATCGGTGGCTCCTCGTTTGTTGTTATGAGTTTTTGCTTCTTCGTTGATTGTCTGTTGTGCTTATTCGTTCAGATAGTGCCTTCTGTGTTTGCCTGATCGTGTATTGGTTAGTGAGTAGGGTTTTTTTTTCACAAATATCTCTTCTTAGGCAAGAAGATGCTGGTGCCTCTTACTGCGTCGCTTTACGTTCCTGGGACGCTGGATGACGCCGATAAGGTCTTGGTGGATGTCGGAACTGGATACTTCATTGAGGTCAGTTAGGTGGACTTTGGGATCTGATTGCTTGGTTGCCTTTCTTCAGTTCTTGATTCATTTTTTTCTTGCATCCAACGTTAGTTCTTTTCACAAAAACGAAGTTGAAATCTATTTGGTTTTTACTTAGATTTCATTCGGCAAACGAGATCGGTGTCGCTGAAAATTTAACTTCTTTTTCCAACAGATGGTTAATGTAATTGTACTACAATATGTTTTGAGTTGTGCCTTTTGTTGAGTGGTACATGCTGATTTTCTTTGGCGACTTTACTTGCAGATTTACCTTCTATGTAGGGTACTTAAGATCAATTGTTCCCACCTATCTGAAATTGTTCTGCTTTATTATCACTAATTGTTTTTTATTGTTATCATCAGTTAGGATCTTATGATTCACTGTGTAAGAATGATGATCCGGCTTTGTCAACAATAATATAAGTTTGTCATGTATTAAATATTAATGTTGGAAATGTGTTTTCATGACTGTTTTGAGTTGATTTGATGGTCGAATCAGAAAACAATGGCTGAAGGAAAAGATTACTGCGATCGAAAAATCAAATTGCTAAAGTCGAATTTTGACCAACTAATTGAGGTATTGTGACTACTTTCAAGTTGATTTTTTTTAACAATTTTTACAAGTTAGAATGCCAGTGAAAGAAATGTTGATTTCTGAACAATATATTATAATTCCTTAATTGTTACTTCTGCATCTTTGTTTGTGAATGAAATATTATACTTGGTAAAGAATTAGGGCAAGTTCAAGAAAGGAAGCACCGCTAACTGAAATTGAAATGAGTTGGACGGCATCTACTCATCTTTAACATAAATATCTCTCTGTACATCCTTTCTTCTTGTGCTTGGGTCTAATTAAAGAGCTTATAACATATTGTTCTGGTCAATGCTGAATTGCTATCAAGCTGTTTGTAATGGGCATATAATCTTTATTCAAAAACAGAACTTTTTTTAATTTTTTTATTTTTTGATTGGAAGCATAGAACCATTTCATTGATTTATGAAAGAATACAAAAGTAAGACCTATCTATGATGGTTACAAGAAAGATCTTCAATGAGATAAGAGTGTTGCTAAGAGATAATTACAAAAAGTAGGAGGTAAAATACTTCCAAGATATGAAGTAGATTCGATGAGTGTATATTCTAATGCTTATTTTTAAAGACCCAAGCACTTCTGTTAAGTCATAAATTCCAAGAAAGGCATAGATAAAATGGAGAAAAAACATTTTATTTTCCTTCGTAAATGGGTGTCCCTTGAGAGACAAGTTGAGCAAGGAAAAGATATCACCAGGTCAAGTGATGTAACAACCAAATGCTTGTTATAAGAATGACCAAAAAGTTGAGGCAGAAGCACGGTTGCTGAACAAGTGAATCAGGGACTCATTATCCATGGTAGTTTATGAGGCAGCAACTTGGAGTGATAGCCTGCCAAGGAGATTTTCACTGTAAATTGTCAAAGGTGTTGATACAAGCATGGCCAAGCTCTAAAATAAAAACTTGACTTTTTTGGGAGAATGTCCTTTCCATAACTGTTGATGAAAAGCCAAATTTGTCAAATTACCAGGGATGTGAGCTTTTGGGTTGGTGAACTGTTAGAAAAGAGCCCATCCTTTTTGAAACCTAAAGCCCATCTATCATCTTGATCTTTGAGTATGGAGGTCAATGAAGGCTGAGATAGGGAAGCCCATTCTTCAGTTTAAACTTTATCAAGATTTCTTCTCAAGATTAGGTTCCAAGAACCAACCCTTTGATTCCATAGATCAACAATAGTTACCTCTTCTCTAAGAGATAAATGATAAAGAGAGGTATACTTTCACTGTAAATTTTGTGCTCCCAGCCAAACATCTTCCAAAACAATGCATTACCTTCCCTCCCAATTCTGACTTCTATGTGATTGTGTACTATCTCTGCAAATTATGGATAGATTTTCATGGCATCTTGGTTGTTTTCAAGAAATACTGCTTGATTCTAAGTTGTAATGGCTAGTACCATGTTTTGCAGCAATAATTTTTTTTTGCCAATGATCATTTTTATCCTAATAAAACCTCTAATTCCATTTGGCCAAGAGGGAGATATTTCATTTTTGTATGTCAAAAATTCCCTATCCACCTTCTTCAATAGGGGATTGTATAAGTGGCCACTTTAGGAGATGGCTACCTTCTTTTGTCAATGTCTCCCCTCCACAGAAGGTCATGTACAACTTCTTAATATATTTTGTGACCTTTGATGGAGCAAGAAAAATGCGGGAATAATATATAGGCAAGTTTGAAAGCATAACTTGGATTGGAGTGTGTCTACCTCCTTTTATGAGAGGGATAAGTGGAAGTGCGATGTGTCTGTTGGGTTATGCAAATGATTCTCAACTTTCTCAATGACAAGAGCCCAAAATTTAATAGTGCGAGGATTACACCATTCGTGGGAGAAGGCATGATACACATCCCATTTTCAACTAACCAAGGGAAAAAGATAGGCAGATACATAGTTTGGTCACCAATCTGTGAGCCATCTCCTTTACCCAATTCATTGGCACCTTTTGGAATAGAATTTTCCTGAGAGCATTCAACAATGCAAAGCGTTTGGTTCATTTCTATAGGTTCCCTGGGGACTAGAGCAGGATCATCAACAAGACAAGGTAAAGGGTTGAGGATGGGAGTTTGTTGTTCAAGGGGTAAAAGCAAAAAGACTAGAAATAATAGGGAGTATTTTATGGGAGATTTATATAAGGATTGGTTCTATGAGGGGGAGCCTTCAGTCGATTGAGAGCATGGTGAGGAAAGATAACCATTTGAATCTGATAAATATGGGTTCACAGTTTGTGGAAAATTTGGTTCTAGTGAGAAGTATGGTTTGTTTGTTGTTAATGGTACTGGATATTTTAGTCGAAGAGATGATTTTGGTGTAATTGAAAAGGTGGAAGTGATTTCGGTGTTCAATAAAGGTTGGGGGAGGTATGATGTGTCAGTAATGGAAGGAATGGTGTCAGTATTAAAAAACGGTTCAACGGGTATTTGTGGCTGGGGGAGAAATTTTGGGAGATGTGTGAGAGATGGCTAAAGTGGAAGGCTCTGTGGTATGAAAGAGGGAGATGATGTATGATGCCCAGTTGGCTAAAGTCGAAGGCTCTGTGGTATGAAAGAGGGAGATGATGTATGGTGCCCAGTTGGGTAGCCTTCTTGTGAGTTGCGCATGGGAATGGGCCATGCCCTGTTCTATAAAAGACAAAGATTGACTATTAGGTTCTATGAATCCACTTGCAGTCGCACGCCTGACCCGTTCCCCTTTTCTATTAGAGAAGTACTTGAGCTGCTTCTGCTAGAGTCGTCAACGTATAATGCAGTTCTCCTTGCCGACCAGTTAGAGTAACTAGTTTAAGTAGAAAGGAAAACTAAGCTTTTGAAAACAATTCAATCAAAGTAAATAGTTTAAACCTTTCCTTTTAAATTTTATTTGTGAGTCAAGTTTATCATATTGGGTTAACTATTCAGTATTTATACTTTATGGTTTATACGTATACTTGGACATTTTAAAGCATATTGTGTTCGTTGTTTAGGATTTATAACTTTATGGATATATTTTGGGTTGTTTTGAACCATATTTGGTGCAATATTTATGATTAATGCTTACATTTGGGTTGTTTTGAACCATATTGGGTTCATTGCTTATAATTTATGCATATATTTGAGCTTTTTTAAGCATATTGGGCTGCTCTCGGTTATAACAAGAAGTAAATGTATATTCCTTTGCTAAATTCATGCAGGTTGCTGCTAAAAAGAAGAATCTAGCAGATGAAGCTGGGGTGATCTTACAAGCAAAACTGAAGCAGATGGCTGCTACAACATAGGGAAATGTGTGACCATGTAATATGTTTGAAGGTAAACCTTAGGGGGAAGGTTCATGTCATATTTGAGGTGTTGGTAGCTGTAAACTTCTTCTAGCACTCACTGGATGATTAGAAATCCAATTTGTCGTGAGCGCGGGGACGAAGATTTAGTAAGGCCTCTAGAACCCGTAGAAGGAAAGATTTAGCAACTCTGTTTTTCAACCCATGTTTTAAGTGTTATCTCATGAATTTGTTTTGGAAGAATTTTGCCCCATGAATTTCACAGGTAGAGAAGTAGTTTTTCCAGTGTGTGTAAAGATTTATTCTCTTTCTGAGATTTTGATTGGAGGAACTTGCATTTGCTCTATCTTTAATCCATGTCTTCGAGCAATCGTCGAGCGAACCCAATACAGTCAAAGATTGCTCGAATCAAACTTAGCATCAATAGCAAACTTAGTCTAAGGCACCAGCATCCCAGGCTTAATAGCTGCAGTTTCATCAAGCAGAAAATTGCGTCGCAAGTATGATCTTGTATTCGCAAGCTCGTCGAATGAAGGACTAGATGTCGTCTGATACCTTGTTTTGTTATTTAAAAGCAATGGTAGTACGAAACATGTTAGACTCGAAAATCACCTTCTTCAAAGATATCATTAACTCATTACATGTATTTCTAAGAGCACATGGTATAAGAATGTTCTACGTCGGTATAAGAATGTTCAACACCGTAGTAGAGAAGTTGAGTAAATTAAAACAAATTTGACTCAAATTAATATTTAATATATTAATATATTAAAATAAAATTATATTTCATTTGAATTATTTAAATTAATATATAATAGATTTATCCAAAACCAACTGTATTTTAAAAAAATATATATATATTTAGTTATTTTTTTTAAGATAAAGTAGAAATTTTTTTATTAATTTAATATATTATTTATTACCGTATCTATTTAAGAACAGAATTCTTATCCTTGGCCGGGTGCATATAGCGGGAAAACAGAACTTTCTTTCTTCTTACACTGAGACTAGGCTGAACAACGGCGGCAACATTTCGCTCACCAGTAAACTTGAACTACAGCTCTGTAATTTCCCAAAAACGTGACGAAAAACTCTTCTCAGTCCCACCCATTTTTCCTCCCTCTACTTCAATCTGTTCGGTTTCCGAGAAAACGCGAAGGAATAGCACCAACCCATTTTCCAGTAGGTGCAATCGACTAACCTTTTGATATTTTTTTGGTTCAAGGCAATGGGTTATGTTTATTTGAAGAACTTGGCTATTGGGCTTGTAGAAAATCGCTTTTTCTGTTTTTTGGCTGGATAAGAGAGTGTCACTGTATTGAGAAGATGACTCTCCATATCTGTTTGACTGGTGATGAAATGTTAAGAACAACGTTTTAATTCTCTTCGTCCTGTAATGGAAGTGTTCGATTTTGAAATTGGGAAATTCTTTTGGTAGCAAGAAAACAGTGTTTGGTTTTTATTAAGCATGAAATGCACATAAGTTGTTTGAGTTAATGCCTCAATGAAACTAGAGACCGTGAAATTAGTTTGGGTTGAAATTTTTTGTTTGTCATTAATTCTTTGTGGTCTGAATTCAGTGTGTTATGTTTTTCAGGCGGCAGCAGCAGCTAGTGAATATTTAGTTGCTAGAGATACAGAACAATGATTTCTTGCTACAATCCTCTGAACGTTAACTCTCAGCTTCTGCTGTCCAATTCTTCCCAGCAGTTAAAGAGCACCAAGCATCCTTGTCTGGTACAGTGCCTTTCCTTGATATTCTCTGATTAATGCTTGCTTTGACCTTCATATAGATTACTTTATTCATGTGAATTCTATCATTGAACGATTATAGAACACAATAGTTCCTCGTATGAAAGTTACTTATGGTGAGGATTGTTGGGAGGGAGTCCACATTGGCTGATTTAGGGAATGATCATGGGTTTATAAGTAAGGAACACATCTCCATTGGTATGAGGCCTTTTGGGGAAACTAAAAGTAAAGTCATGAGAGTGTATGCTCAAAATGGACAAATATCGTATCAATGTGGAGAGTCGTGATTCCTAACAACTTTGTCTTTTAACTGTTGAGGATTGTTGGGATAGGAGTCCCACATTGGCTAATTAAGGGGTTGATCATAAGTTTATAAGTAAGGAATATTATCTCTATTGGTATGAGGCCTTTTGGGAAATCCATAAGTAAAACCACGAGAGTTTATAAATAAGGAACACATCTCTATTGGTATGAGTCCTTTAATGTTATATGTTTTGGCTGCTAACATTAAGTAAGCAAAATAATTTTCAGAGGAACTTTAATGTTTTCATGGTAGCTCATCTCTCTTCCTCTCAATCTTCTATTAACAGATTCAATTTATATTATAAATCGAACGTATTTGATGTATCTGTTTTTCTTCTTTTTCAATGGAACTCTCCCAAAGAGTTACTGCGAGTCTTAGTTCCTATCTCGTAACCGTTTTCACATCTCGGAAAATTGTCAATATCTTTATTCATGCCGAAGGCTTTCGAGAGAATTTTATTTGATCATCACAAATGTTTGTTCTTTGCAGCATCGTAGTAAGTTGCATAAGGAAAGTTCTGATGTAACCACAAGAGGAATGAAAGTCACTGCTTATTATGGCTTGAAGACGCCTCCCTATGAACTTGTAAGTGACCAACCTAATGATGTGCATACTTATTTTGCAACCAAAGTCCCATGTTTTATGGACTGTTTCTTGCAGATATTTGCTTCTTTCTCATAGAATTCCAATGCTAGTCACTTGATGGTCCGAGATATTTAGACGTCATTTTTAGAAGGAAACATATCCGCTAAACTTTGATTTTCGGCTAGCCCGGCACTAACTCTTCAATATGTTTGTTGATCGTCAAAGGCAGACTTGCAAAATCAAGCTTTATGTTTTTCCATTTACTTTTAACAGTCTTGTGTCTGTGAGATCCCCCATCGGTTGGGGAGGAGAACAAAACATTCTTTATAAGGATGTGGAAACCTCTCCCTAGCAGATGCGTTTTAAAAACTTTGAGGGGAAGCTCAAAAGGAAAATCTCAAAAAGGACAAATCTGCTAGCGGTGGACTTAGGTCGTTATATTCTTGCACACCTTGCATGATATTGAAATTGTGCCGTTCCATTACAGCACTCCTGTATACTTTTAGTCCTTGAATTTTTTTCCGTAAAACATTATTAGGACTCACAGAAAGCAGGTTAAATAGATAGTAGTACAATTAGGATCCACAGAAAGCAGGTTTAATATACTGGCGTTAAATGTGAATGTAGTAGCCTTAGTATTCTTGTCCTGGTTTAAAATGTGCAACAAGACCTGAGAGAGGTCATTTAAGGTATGGTGACCTCAATAAGGCACCTATCCTCCTCTTCTTCTTCTTCTTTTCTCTCCTCTCATATGATTTTTTTGTTACTTTTTTGACATATTCTACACCTTATCTTTCAATCATGTGCCTCATGCTTTAACAAACACCAATTTCTTGTTAATATGTAATGGGGTCCAAATCCTTCATTTTTGGGGTGGATTTCTTATTCCCAGTTATTTGTAGCCATCTTTTCTTTGCGTATTGTCCTCTTTGGATCATAGACCATATTTGTGCTTGGGCTGTTACAATATGACAATATATTAAGAATATCTGCTAGCGGTGGGCTTGGGCTGTTACAATATTAAGCCTACAAATTTCGACCAAACTGATTATAAATTTGTCATATTTGTGGCAGCATTACTGGTAAGAAGTGGATATATATCTAACAACATATAACACTGCTATGTTTCATTTTGCTCTCTACTTTCAGGATGCTTTAGAGCCATATATGAGCCGGAAGACGTTGGAGGTTCACTGGGGTAAACATCACCGTAATTACGTTGAAGGTCTAAACAAACAACTGAGCCAAAATGATATTTTATATGGCCACACTTTAGATGAACTTCTCAAAGTAACGTATAACAATGGAAATCCTTTACCGGAGTTTAACAATGCTGCCCAGGTACTTCAATGTTGATCCATGTTCTACTTCAAATTATTTGGCTAAAGTTAAACCTTCCTGATACTCTTGTTGACTCATTCATTGCAAGTCTTTTAGTTACTTTTTCAAAAGCTACTTGACCTTACCTGATTGTTCCCTTTATCATTAATAAAACATACGTGAGATTATCTGAGACCTCACATTGGTTGGAAGGATAACGAAACATTTCTTATAAGAGTGTGGAAATCTCTTCCTAGCAGATGCATTTTAAAACCATAAGGCTGACGACGATACGTAAGGGGCCAAAGCAGACAATATCTGCTAACGGTGGGCTTGGACTGTTACAAATGGTACTAGAGCCAGCCACCGGACGGTGTGCTAGCGAGGATGCTGGGCCCCTTAGGGGGGTGGATTGTGAGATTCCAAATTGGTTGGAGAGAAGAATGAAACATTCTTTATAAGGGTGTGAAAACCTCTCCCTAGGAGATGCGTTTTAAAACCGCGAGGCTGGCGATGATACATAACGGGCCAAAGCAGACAATATTTGCTAGCGGTGGGCTTGGACTCTTACACTATCCCTCTTTTTTTTTTTTCAAAAAAAAATATTGGGACAGAAGGATTTCAAAGAAGCATGATTACCAGACTTGGTGTTCAATACTCTAAAAGGGAAAAAGGGGGGAAACAGGAGTGTAGTATAGCATCGCTATCCTATTAGTTGCTACATATGGTGGCTGGTGTGGATATGACAAAGAAATTGAATGTTTAGCAGCATACTTCTGATACCTATTACTCTCAATAAGACAATTCTTGTAAACCCTAAACAAAAACTTTCACACTCCATGAAAGGAGTGATATAAGAACAAAACTAAAAAACAGACATAATGAACTCAATAAACGATTAAAAGGGAACTATAAAAGCATGCCAAATGAAACAAAGATCTTGCTAAGAAAAATCCTTTAAACTACAGAATCAAAAACAATCCGACCAAAGAAGAAACTTGTCTTAAAAATTCCTTATTTCGTCTCGATCCAAATTTCTTAGTAAAAGATCTTTGATCTCATTAACCCATAAAAGACGAGGTCTTGTGCGCAAATGGCTTGTGCGTTCTACATCATTGTATGAGATATAGAATTGTCTTTTTTTAGAAGGGATCTTGAAAATACATGTCACATTTGTAGATGTTGTAGTAACGTGTATGATTAAGTTCGGGAAGTGCACGATACCATTTCCTTTATGTATGTTCAGGTCTGGAATCATGACTTCTTTTGGGAATCCATGCAACCTGGAGGAGGAAGCATGCCCATACTTGGTGTTCTACAACAAATTGAAAAAGATTTTGGTTCTTTTACCAATTTTAAGGACAAGTTTATACAAGCATCTCTTT